TGAGGCCTGGCACATGGAGAAGGTGATGATGCTGAGGAGCCGTGCGTGTGCGGGGAAGAGCAGGAGAACTGAGGCAGGGGTGACGGACATTGTTCAGAAACCTCGGGCAGGACTGGGATCTTCACCAGGCGTGGGGTAGCGGTGTGGGGGCCTTGCCCAGATCCCCGGGGGCTGGGAGACTAGTGATGACTGGGCTCGACACTCAGGCCCGGAGGTGTTTTGGGTGGCCGCCGGTCCCTGTGGGCGGAGTCCTGGAGAATGGACTTCTTGGCAGAGGCTTGCCCTGGCACAGCATGGTGGTACCCGCCCCCCCCACTTTCTTTTTCAATTATTATCATAAGCACAATGCAGCAGAACAGTTTAGAAAGGGAACCACCACTGTTTCTTGTGGCCTCTCGTCCAGTCCCTGTCCGTAGGCACAGGAGTAGCAGTTTTAGAGTTCCCACCATTCTGTATTTTGTACCCGGCTTTTTCTTTTAACGTTTTTGTTCAGCATTTCCCCATATTTTGCTACACTGTCCTCGTGATTATTTTCAAGGTGGTGATGTGGAACCAGTGCTGCCTGGTGTCGCCTGACCTGGGGCTCTAATCCTGGCTCTGTCATTTACTCTCTTCAGTTGGGGCCACTCCCCCCAAAGTTACCTGGTGTCAGGATCCGAAACCCTCCCTTGGAAGTGGAATATACTCTAGTGGTGAGAGTCTGAGGGAGCCCTGGTGACATTGACTTTCTTTTTTTTTTAAGGGGTTCTTTTTTCTTTATTGATTTCAGAGAGGAAGGGAGAGATAGAAACATCAACGATGAGAGAGAATCATTGATGGGCTGCCTCCTGCACGTCCCCTACTGGGGATCGAAACCACACCCCAGGCATGTGCCCTTGGCCGGAATCGAACCTGGGACCCTTCAGTCCGCAGGCTGACGCTCTATCCACTGAGCCAAACCGGCTAGGACATTGACTTTCAGAACGACTTCCCTGAACTCCCAGTCAGACGCGGTGTTGCCCTGCCTCGCCCCCCACCCGTGGTGGCCCCCCAAACCCGTAAAACTCGGGCTCCCCCAGCGAGCTGTGCGGACCGCATCCTCGGAGTCCCTGGGCTAGAATGACCCTGGCAACCTTCTCAGCCGCTTAAGTAGCCTGCTCCTTTGATTGACAGGGGAAGCCGCCAAAGGCGCCCAGGGGAGGTCCCTTTTGCGCGCGAGGGGGCGTGCCTTCTCGGCTTGCACCTGGACCAATCATATGCGCCTAAGGGGCTGTGGGGCGGGGCCCGGCGCCCAGCAGCCA